ATATTAGTTAATAAAGATTTAGGTGGCATCATGGGATGCTCGGATTCTGTTAAAAGAGAGGTGATTATCAAGGGGAAACGACTTAGTTACAGAATAATAAAGATAACATATTTTAAAAGCTTAACTTATCTAAGGATATGATTTCTGTTTCATTCATCGCCTGCTTAAACTCCGGTAACTGATTATCACTAACGACAGAAGTATGTCCGTCAGGGTAAGTCCCTATATATTTGGTGTGGTGTGATAGTTCTAGTGGTGTTGCAGGTCTGCTCCTTATTAAGCATTTTTCTCGTCCGAGTCGCTCTGAATTCAAGCAGTTTTAACTAAGTAATCTTGAAAAGTCCAAAAAAGAAACTGACAAATTGGAAAGCCTACAAGAAATGGACTAAAATGTTATTTATTGCAGACTATAATTTTTCAAGACTATAATTTTCGAACCTTATCATCTGTATTTTCCGAAGCTGTGCATACATTATCAGGACAAAACTTCGGTTTCGCGGTCCATTTGTTCGTTGTTTTTTTTTTACAACAACCACTAGTGATATATATATATATATATATATATATATATATATTTTCATCACTTTATTCGTGCGCTCGCACAAGGATGATTTTTAGAAGGTTCATATGGCCGGTTCATACCTTCACCTTTAATTCTAAGAATATTCCGGTTATTTCTTTGTATTATTTTCTCACTTGCATCAATCTTCCTAGAGTATTAATTTCAACCTTATTTTCATGTTTACATTTAATTATTTCTTTTCCATCATTGGAATCAGTTAGACCATCAAATTCTCTTCTCTTATTTTCAAATTTCTCTAGGTTTTTTGCTCTAATGTTGAGATATGCATTAGCAAATGAGAACGGTAGTTTCTGGATGGTCACTTCATCCACGTTATGTTCGCTTTCTTTCTTTTTAAACCACTGTAAGAAATGTACCACTGCTATGTCCATTTCCAAATCTTCCTCAGTATCAGAAGACTGGCTCATCACTTTATCTGCACATTGCATACAGAATTTCTGAAATGCGTTCAGGATTTCTTCTTAAAAATACCTGAAATATCTTCTTAGAGCTTGCAATTGCTGCAAATCTTATTGACAATCGCGGCAAAGAAAGTTAAACGTCTTTATCGTTTTCCTGTAATGTTCTCACAGAAGTTCCAATGTCATTTTGAAGAGGTCTTAACTGATCAGCAATGCTACGTTCATAAGCCTACAAATTAACCATATTTTTATCCAAATCACGGATGGTTTCTTTCTGAACAATGCATTATAGTATGCAACTTTTTAAGAAGGTTAACCAACTGCCATAATTTGTTCTTCAGTCATAAGTAAAGATCCTCATCCGTATATAGATTCTTTGTGATTGAAGATTTTCAAAACTTAAAGTGAAATAGAATCTATTAATTCATTAAAAATTATAATCCAAATGACAAAACTAATCATCTTTCATATTAACTTACTCATGCTTAACACTTGGTTAAATGAGTATTTGTAAAGCAAATCCAGATAATAATAGTACTTCAATATATTACCATCAACATTTTTCTATCCCAAGTGCAAACAACACATAGATTGTTGTTTCACTAGAAAGTGATAGGTAAATGTGAATTAGGAATGTTGAAAGGAGAGATTGGTGACTGCAGCTAGACATAGAAATCTTTAAGAGTAATATCGATTAGTGAAACTAAAGCATAAAAAGCTAACAGCCCTAAACTTGAAAAAGTAATTCTAAAGAGATACCATGGTAGATTTGGATGTCTCTGATCAAAAAAGGAATTATGTAATCTTTGTTCTTGTGGCGTCGGTTTTGATCTTAAAATAGATCCTGGCTGAACAGGCTCTCTATCATCCTGAAAAACCAATTTCCATTAGATAAATTAGATTTCCGGTACACTATGTCCAAAAACGGCGAAATATACCTCTAAGAAGTTTTGAATTCTAAACCATCAATTTGATTAATTTAAGTGCCTCAATCTTTCCATCCTTTTCAGTTGATGTATATTTTCCTATAAATATCGGTTGAAAAAAAAAAAATCGAACTTACTGGTGTGAGAACATTGATTTTTGGCCTTAACTGGGCAAAATAATTCTGTCGAAGTTATACATTGAACACAAAATCCTGTACAGCAGTAGGTTGCAGCGATTTTTCACCACTGTCGGTAATGTCAAAAAATGCAGTTGATTTGCATGGAGCTAAAACCTGGGTTAAAAAAAAATTAAGGAATAAAGTTTTTTCCGGTTTTAAAAACACTTTCACTTGTGTGTTCTAGCACTTCACATCTTTAATTTCACAACGCTCGTTAAAGATGCTTTACCTTTATTGGTCCTAATTTTTTAAGTTCAAATTCCTGTTCACAGCCTTTATTTACCTGCAGGTAGTTTCTCGCTTATATTAACTTCTTTCACTCCTTTTGCTTCGTGACTTTCAGTTACCCGTGAAATGCTAGCTACATCATTCAGATCAGTTGCAATGGCTTTTGGATCGTTCTTCTTGCTAGGCTGTGCATCTGATAGCTTATACCATTATAATTTACCGGTATTTTTATCCCTGAAGTGTTTTACAGCTCTTCATTAACTTTTTTTTCCACATTTTTTTAATTTTAATGAAGTTTTTTTTCTCATTTTAATAGTTAAACCACGTTTACATACTATAGTGGTTAAGTCCTTTCATGCAGAAAAGTAATGATTTAAAAACATGGATCAGTGATTTTCAGCTTTATACCGAAGGAATAACAGATAATGAAGCCTATTATCTGTGAAATGTATCAGAGAAAAGAAATCACATTACCCTAGAAGCTGCCAACACTCATTCAAATGAAAAAAAAAAAAAAAAGAATCCAAAAAAGTACCACTGTTCTTCCGAAAAACTGTTTGAATTAACAGACTTTTCCTGATTCTTCGCTAGCTTTATTTTTATTGATGCTTTATTGGAAGCTCACTTGTGGAATTTCGAATCGCATTCTAAAATATTAATTAAATATTTTGTCTACAATCGTCGTCATTGCTGCTTCCATCACGAATACATCAAGAAAAAACTTTTTGCCTACACAAAGATGAAAGGAAATAAGACATCTACGTTGGATAAAGTAGAAATTTTTGATTGAGCGTAATCGTGATCGAGAACATTGAATAGGCATGGGACGCACGAGGGAATTGTTCAAGTTCTTGTCTTGAGGAACTGAAATCAAGAATTCCTTCACTGCTTACTTCTAACGAAAATAAAATCAACAGTCAACAAATTCCATACTGTTTGTATACAATTCTTGCTTATAACCTGAACGGAATATGATCAAACGAAGTGACGAAAAGGTTTAAAACAACAAAATAAAAAAGAGAGAAGTGCTTATTTATAAATTATCTTTATCTGTTTTTGATTGCTGATCGAGTTTATTGCAGGTTGTTGGAAAGAAAGATTTCTTTGAAGCAACTTTATCATCAACCTTTAAAGCCCATCATCTTTTATATGAATTTCTTGAATAACCTCCTTTAATAAATGCAAAAATTGCTAATATTATTGAAAACAAAAAATTTCATTGATGACCACTTAGTTCGAAGTTAACATAATGAAAGAGCGCATATAAAATTTTGTCGACACAGAATAAACGTTTGGTCCTGATAACTATCATATTAATACTACGTAGTTGTTCATGTCAAAATTTGGCAGTCTGTAGAAAAAAGATGACGTACAACTTTCAGCAAAAAAAAAAAACTATTTGAAAGCAATTCATCCAAAAGTAAAGTTATGTTTTTACGCGAAAAACAAAAGTATATTCAAATTTAATCATTACATACCTAATGTATTAGCTAAAAGTAGATAATAAACCAATACAAAAGAACAAATAAACAAAATAATCATAATACTTAAACCAAGATTAAAACCAACTATGGATACACAAAAATAAAAATAACCAACACCTAAAGATATCAAACATATAACCAGCAATAAAAAAATAAAACAAAATTAGAAGAACCAAACAACAATAAAAGTTCCAAAAAAAAAAAAAGTTAAACTTAGACAAACATGAAACCAGCATTTATATCTAATCCTGAGTCTTGTCATGTGTGAAATATCTCCAGGTAATTTTGTAACGCTAGCTATTATCAGGTGCTGAACGTTACAGGTCTAAATGTTTGATTTCCCATACCTTTAATTGTCAGAAAAGGTCCAATTTGTCAGCAAAAAAGAAGAATTCCATTAGGTCCACATTTAATACATTTATAAGCAGATGATCATATTGCTCCTTCTCAGGACAAAAGTTCTCATTATTAGTTCTTTTCCAAATTGCTTCCTTTCAGCAAATCATCATTATTAATTAAAAATATTGTAGAAGAATTTAAAATTATATAAGCTCAAATTTTACCAATTATAAATAAGAAAATAATGATGACAAAAATAAAGCGAACATTTTATACACTTTCAAATATGGTTGCAAATGATAACATTAGCCGGGAAGCATTCAAGTGATAAAATTCAGTTCAATTTTCAGTGAAATAATTGCTAATTGAAATTTAAATTCTTGCAAATGTTACTGAAAAAAATTTTAGAAGATAATAAGGACAACTTACAACAACAAAATCCATTAAGCGATTATTTGCAAACCTGCAAAAAGAGAAAATCCATCGGATATTCTATTTAACCTATTTTCTTAATCATCAAAATATGGATGAACGATTACGATACTAACGCTGATACGTTATAAAAGCTGCACTTTTTTAAAGCAAAGAAAAGATCAAAAATAAATAGCACTTCTTTTTTCTTAATGTAAAATATTACAGGAATTATCTCTAATCATTTTTAAAACTCCTTTGAATCTATTTTTCCTTCCAAAATCAACTAATGGCATCATTATAATATATTTCGTTAAATTTCATCACATAGAAAAAACAATCCAAAAATTACCGGAGAAAATTTTATGCATTTAGAACGGGCAATTTAAAACTCAACATGAGCTTCTAATTTTCCTCTTCCAGTTTTCTTTTCTCACCTTTAAGTTGCATTATTCTGAGAACATCCAGCACAAAACTTCCAATCGCTCTGCCCGATTTTTATTATCATAATTTAAAAGACTTATTTTGAGCATCTTGGAAGTCTCGAAATCGACATTCCTTAAACGGGAACTTGTAGTTCTAAACAATTTTTCATCACCTTGGAAACACTTCAGAAAAAAACGCTTCTAGAAATAGCATACTTACCTGGCAGTAGGAGACAAAGGTGGAAACGATTCTAATTCACTGACCAGATCTTGATTTAAGCAGAATTCCAATTTCATTGTCGCGCTTTACAGCTGCACTTGTGTTGAAAGAATAGCGTTTGACAAACATGTTCAAACATCTGAAACAATTAACAATTAGTACATTTAGAACATTAGTGAAAATAATTAATACAGAAAACAATTGGTAAAAATTAGCAAGAAAGCACAAGACAAAGTTTAAATACTATTATCATTAACAAGGAAAGTGAAAAAGTTATCTCGGAATTCGTGTAAATTGCTGGCTTTTATTCGCACTATTACATCCGCACAAATCACATTTTTTGTCAACTACTTTTAGATCATAAATTGTCATTTAACAAATCTTGTACTGTAATTGATAACCTAAAGATAAAAAATTTACTTTTTTTTTTTTTTCTTTTTTTAAATCTTCCCGAAGAGTGAATCTTTTTTTAAACACTACCACAAGACGTTCTCACTTTAATCTTGTCGAGGAGAAATGTTTGAGAAATAAACACTTACTTACCAGGAATCATTTTGGTCCATCATTTGGATAGAAATCGGTAAAATAATGCTTTCTTCTTTGTTATTCGTAACTGCTTCACATCTGAATTAATTTTCTCATTTGAACAATTGATCCGAATCAGCAATGTTTAATAGATACTTATTTTGCTTATTGCCAACTATAATTGATGATGGATATTGAAGTCATAGATAACAACTCACTGATCTATTAAAGAAATCAAGAGAACCTCCTGCATCTTATCATAGATTCTATAACAAATGCAAAATTTGATGTAATTGGATTTCATTTATTTCTTTCCTGCTGATAATCAATATTGTGTTGTTCACGCAATATTTTCTCACATCCTTCTTGCATCATATTCAAAATGTTTGTAAGGAATTCTTGTGCATCCTGCAATTAAGAAAATTTCCAACAAAAATTTACATTTAATTGGTCGACAAAGTCAAGCTGTACAAGATAAAAATGTTGTCATGTAAAAAAAAAACAGCTCATTTCGTGCCTGCATATACATAACACTAGGAAATCTTCCCTTCTGTTTATAAGAATAAGTAGAAAAACCACCAAACAGTTATTAAAAACTCAAACAAAACGACTTGAAATTGAAAGTAAAAATATCCAAATATAATCACTTCAAAATAATTTGTGCAAATTAAAGGATAACCTGTTGCTCATCATTCCAGAAATCTAAATTTGACATATCTTTGATCATTTCTAGAAGAGCCATCTTCAAACTGTTTGATGTACAGTGACGCTGGCTTGCAAGACTGGCAACTGCTCTGAACAATTTATTATACTCACGAGAACAGAAAAAAAGAAGATATTTCGTAAATTAGAATTTACGTGTTTTTTAACATTTGCTGTAGTACTGATGCAAAGACGTAAAAAAGAAATTGTTATCAGTGCTTTTTGTATTGTTCACATTAATCCAAAAGAGAATCTTAATACCATATATATATGTTATATAGGAAATATTCGCTTCAGAAATTCAGTACAGAAGTATTGAATCTGAATATTCTGTTTACTCCGATTCGTCAAATCAAATGATCTTACAATGGAAACCGCTCTTTTGTTTTTTTTACGAAACCAAAAGTAAGAAATAAAGAGAAGAAAAAGAAATTAGAAAAGTTAAAGCTACTTGCTAACAAACTCTTTGTAACTGCAAGGTTGTTATCAAAGAAGAAAGCAATGCATACAAGCATAACGGCATTTCGTCATCCAAATCCAAGCCAAGCTCTTCGACCATTTTACAAACTTTGAAAAGGTCTTTTGCAATTGAAAAGCATATAACACGTGCTACCAAGATTCGCGAATCTATAGCAAAACAAAAATATTCAACTGATGTTTTAAATTATCAGAAAATGATAAAAAAGAACACAAAAGCGGAAGAATAAAACTATCATTTACATACCCAAATGTCTCCACATTATCAGTTGTCAAAGCTTTAATGTGGTCATTGCCACGACGACCCTATAATAAAGCATTTACAAGAGATCAAAACACAAGTTATTCAATGATTGTCTCAAAATAATCTCCATAACGTATTCTTGAAATTCTACCTACATTGGTTTTAAGCATCAAATAGTCCATTTAGAAGTTTCAAAAAACAAAAAAGCAATGATGAAGACATACTGCATTACCGTTCATGGAAACATCACTAGAAAGTTTTCTTTCTCTTCAAACTTTGATATTTTTTAATAAGGGCTTGCTAAATTTATTCCACGCGTCGTGGTGAAATTTGTTGATCTGGAAAGAATAAAAAATCAACGAATCTAAAAATTAGATTAAAAAGTAAAAATTTATGCAGGAACGACTCACATACCGAATTAAAGGATTATCAATTTGCAAGGAACCATGTGCAATACCAATCAATGGATTAGATAACTTTGGTCGCTTTGCTGTAGATTCCAATACAGAATCTAATGTGAGTTGGTCAAAGCTTTTCTTAACTAAAACAAAGATTTACAAGCAATTAGCAGGTGTTGCACGATTCCATATGGATTTCAGTTCTCTTTTTTGGCAAATTTTAAAGTCTGAATGTAAATTATAAGCATGCTAAAGTAAAAACTTGATTTATTCATAAATAAAAGAATAATGTAGAAAACGAACTACTTTCAACATCTGCTGAGTCAGCTTCTTGTTGATTTCTAGTGATACTGAAAATTTAGGAAAAAAATATTTCACCCTTCTTTAATAAGAGCCGATTATCTATTTATATAACTGTTTCCTACTTTAACTTATCTTCTTACAACGTTTATTATCGTCGTTCACGTTGTGCTATCAGTAGAACTGGTCGAATTGATTTTTACTGTTTCCCTTCTTCACTTTTCTTCTTAATCCTTGAATTGTCGTTGAGTGTTGTAACTGTCGTTTTGATTGTACGTCGTCGTTTTACCAGAATATTGTTTTTATCGTTGTCTTTCTCCACCTGCTGAATTTCTCTTCGTCGAAATTCACGTAGTTTAATACTCAACTTGCGTAATAAAACCTCAGTTGTTGTCGATTGTTTTCCGCACTTCAAACTTGGTTAATTAAACCTGTTACTCGTTTGTCGCCGTTAGTCACGAAAGATTATCCATCTATCAGTTAAAATGTCCTATGAACGTGTCGTCCTATTGGTGTCCTAAGAGCGAATCCCTCTTTGCTCATGCTCCTAACCGTTTCCCTCTAACGCGACCTAAGCTCGCCCTAATACCACCATCCCTCAACTCGTCGACCCAATGTAAATTCTGTAATGAGAAATTGCTCTGCTTATATCGCTGAGAATTCTTCTTTGTTGAGATCAAATATCCATTTTTTCTTTTTTTTGTATGTTTTATTATCCCATTGCGCTTTTCCCATCGCTACGTTGCTGTTAGGTTGACTCCTTTGTTAGCTCCTTCCCTGTATCCTTTGTTAATAATAAGATCTTATATCCACTATATACAATCCCTCTTTTTATTTTTTAGTTACTGTAATAGTATGTTCGGCCTATTTGCCGACAGAAAACATGAAATCTTGAAACAAGTTTCAAATAATTGATTGTCATTATCTAGCATATGTTCTGCAAATGCATCCAGAAGAACAGCTATACATGGGATGCATTGAAGAGATTCACAACACTGTTTAATTAACATTACCGATAATAAACGAATATATTTGAAAAAGTATAATTCGGTTAGCAGATTTTTTTACTAAAATCTAGAATAAATCACGAGAAGCATTATTGCACAAATTCGTCCCAAAAATCTCGATCACATTCCGGTAAGTTTTCTATCGAGAACTGATTGTAATCTGGTTAAAAAAATCATTCGGATAAATTTGTACAGGCAAATTATTAAATAAATTGTGTGTTAATCAGAAATATTTGAACGAAGTGAAAATAATCTGCAAACTATTGCCATATTATATCCCTGAATAATTTGGATATTTTTAACGCCCAGTATAAAGAAGATACACATATCATGTCCTACAATGTTAACAAATGAAAATTTTTGGAACAGAAATAGAAAAAAGGAACAGAAACTTTACCGAAGCATTATATAGTTTCTAATAGTTTATGCATTTTCATCATGCGATCTTAAAATCCAATGAAAACGTTGTTTGTGCCATGCAAGGAGTTTGAGATGGTTTAAAAGATGTAACCTGCAATGTATGCGTACATTTGGTGAATCTATAGAATGAAATGAATTCCAGAATACTCTTAAAATCTTGGTAGTTTATTATAGTTGATTCTATTCGTAAGACTTACCAAGCGTCAACTGCAAAAACAATTTCTCGTCGCTTTTCATTCACTGTCTAAATACCTGTCCTTTGGAAGAGAAACGTGTCCGCCGACCCATAGAGTACCTCAAAATTCATATGAAATTATCCAGCTTAAATAAAATCGGGATGAAAAATCACGAATACCGCTGATATTACTAATAAATCTATGCATAACAACTTGGTGAAAATTTGACCGCAACATTATTACAGTACAAGTATCATAACTCTTTTTATTATAGTGAAACTCAGCAGATAATAATGATTGCAATTGTTTCATGCTGTAACACTGCTGGAAAGTAAAGAAAGAACGTTAAAAAAAAGACAAAATTATCTAATTTAACATTCAAAAAAGGAATCAAGAAATTGGAAAAAATGCGATAAGACAACCTGAATTTTGAATTGACCAAGCTTCAAAATCATCATTTTCATATCACCATTCTTTTCATGATACATATCCTGAAAAACTTTGCTTTTCAATGATAATTTTTTATTATAAGCTAGCAAATAATTGTAAATAAATCGAGGATGATAAAATAAGGTTTCCCAGCCAATTACCTCGTCAGAAAATCCTTTAGCGCCATTTGGCGTTATCTACTTAAATCTGGAGCAAGCAAGCTGAAAAGGTCAGGTTAATCATTCAAAGATAGCATCAGTGATAGTAAAATTACCGCAAGAACTTCCCTCACGAAACTGCCCCACCTCCTCGCCAACAAAACAGCAGCTGGCAACGGTTCAAATTTCGCGCTTTACCTAAAAATTCCGTGGCTTTTTACGGGAGATTGCAGGACTAGATACAAACGAGCCTATTTTTCTAGCAATCTTACGAGTCGCACGTCTCTTATCCCTAAATCCAGCGCAAAATGCTAGCGTTTCTTGGACCGTTGCTTCCCTCTCCCTACAGTAATTTGGTAACATTTGCGCTGCAGTCATCCTAAATCTAGAATCCTGGGACGAATAATAGAGGCATGATTTTGTTTTCATAAGTAGATTAAGCTACTGTGCTACACTATTCTGGAAAGTTCCAAGACATTTCGGAAAATAGCGCTTGAAGAAGAAAAACACTTTGGAAAAAAGCGCCTGAAGAAGATAGACAATTATCTAGACATATTTCACGCTTTTTCCTCTGACTTATAACTATGATAATGAAATTCTTTTAATGTACGCATTGTAAAAATATATCATCGACTCAGCTAAGTGGACGATTTGCTGAAGATAAGAAACGTATAAACGTCTTAGCAGATCATACAGTACAAGGTGAAGGTGGTAAAAAAGCGCAATGGAGAAGGTAAAATTGTTCGATTAAAATAAAAACTCAGATGATTAAAATGGTAAATAATAGAGAGGAGATATTTAGAGAAAAATAAGTAATAAGGCAGGTTGAATTACAACGACCAGAACAAGATACTTAATAAATGTTACTGCTACACTCAGGATGAAGTCGAAGGGCTACTACAGCTACTACAGGCTACAGGTAATTGTTCAATTGGAATATACTTTTGTTGAATTATTTCAAACAATTTCTATGCTACAATTATATATCACTTTTTTTTTTTTCTTTCAGAGATTCAGCCAAATTATGATATAAGCATGATTAATAACATAGCAATGATTTGGATGGAACGCTTGCTCAATCTTTGCGTACGCTAGAAACGGCAAAAACGAATGGAAACGAAATTTGTCAAATGTAAGACTTTCTCAAAAAGAGGTACAGCAAATAAAGTGGAGGGTATTAATAGGCAGTGGATGCATTAGTATCCACAAGAATTAAAACAGAGATGCAATTACAGTAATGCGTAGTTGCAACAGCTGCGTAAGAGTGAATGCCAATATGCGAAAGTATACATTGGTCACCACAGTGGCACAGGAGTTAAAAAAAAGTTGATAAAAGACAACATACAATAAGAGGCTACAAAAATTAAAAGGTGGATGCAAACGTAGTAATGAATATATAAAGTATGTATCAATAAGGTTTAACGTTGAACTTCCTTGTACACCAATATTTAGAGGAAATTATCACTATTTGTTTCACGTGGAGGAATACGCAGACGAGAATTTATATTCGATATGTTCATATGTGTGTCATCAAATCATTTAAAAGTTGTCAGTTAAACCCGTTTCGCTCAAATTACCCGCAAATATGCTGTGATCATTGCATTGTTTAATTTCAGCACTCTAATGTAGTTTCACTTTTTCTAAAATTATGTAGAGTTTGTTTTCAATTCTTGAATAATCAGATAGCGTATGATAGACTGATATCTTGGTTAAAATGGAAGTGTAAAAAAGACCGTGTCAGCTTGTCGAAATTGATTTAAGAAAAAGAAATGAATTTTTTTTGCGTTTAAAAATTTCCAGGCAGCATTATTTTCAATTCTTCCCTTACAATAGTCACTTGAATTTTCTTACTACCACAGCCAATTCTGCTTATGTGTCTACTCAAAAGTGAATGTTTACGACAAAAAGATCATAGTATCTTCATTTCTTGCCTATCTTTTCGTATTTCCC